AATATATCTTTATTGATTTCAGAGAGAGGAAAGGAGAGGAAGAGAGAGAGAGAGAAACATCAATGATGACAGAGTCATTGATCAAGCCCGCAACCGGGCATGTGCCCTGCCCGGGAATCGAACCCCGATCGCCTGGATCCCAGGTCGACCCTCAACCGCTGAGCCACGCCCGGCCTGGCTGGACCCGTAGTTCTAATGGTGGCTGACACCCTGTTTGGTTTGCTCATCTGTAAATGAGGAGCTGGCCGGGGGCCCCTTCCTGCCATTTCACTCTACAACACTGCCCACTGCCAAAAGATATACCTCCTTGGAACCTCTTTTGAATTCATGGCTCTTTTTTTNNTACATCGCATCAAAAGTAGGTCTCTTTTCATTTCCCAGGAAAAGGAACCAGAGCTCCTTGAAGAAAAGACTGCTTCCAGGTCTGGGGCAGGCGAAATACAAGATCCTGGAGCATCATATCATTTCAGAAGGACAAGCCATCAAAGATACTTGGGTGGAAGGAAAGTCGAGTGGTTCCGCTGGCCAAAGGTGGGACAAGTATCAAAAAGAATAGTGACAGTAACGAATTAAAACACATCAAGTAGCCCGGCCGGGCGTGGCTCAGCGGTTGAGCTTCGACCTAGGATCCAAGAGATCGGGGTTCAATTCCTGGTCAGGGCACATGCCCGGGTTGGGGGCTGCAGCCGATCAATGACTCTCTCATCATTGATGTTTCTCTCTCTCTCCCTCTCCCTTCCTCTCTCTGAAATCAATAAAGATACATTTTTAAAAAAATAAAATATATAAAACACATCAAATAAACTAAATGTGTTTGTTCGATCCATGAGTTTATACTTTAAGAGCTCTCATCAGTAGACTCTGGAGGTAACTAGGGCATTGTTCTGAGAGGCCATAACTAAAGGGAAGGAATCAAGCATTCATCTGCCTTTCCTTTATGGACTGATTTCAGGGTAACCAAATACTCTAGTTGATGAGCGAAGGTTTTCTTTATGAAAGAATGACAGTTAGCCCTGGCTGATGTGGCTCAGTGGGTAGAGCGTTGGCCCACTCACTGAAGGGTCTTTTCCGGTTCCATTCCCCTGTCAAGGGCGCCTA